GGAGGAAGGGAGGAAGGAAGGAAGGAAGGAAGGAAGGAAGGAAGGAAGGAAGCATCAGGAGCACCTCGCCCCCCCACCCCCACCCCGGTGACAGGAGAGGCTGCGCCCCGGCTCCTGTGGGCGTGGAGGGAGGGACCCCCTGGCCCCGGGGCCACGCAGCAGCCCGGTCTCCCGGGCTCTGGGGGCAAAGGGCTCCTCACGCTGAGAGACATCAGAGATGCCCTGAGAGTGGAGCGCGCCCAGCTGGGGAGAGGCGAGAAGGGAGAGGAGGGGTCAGGGAGGACAGCAGCAGCGTGTCCCCGAGGCAGCGTGTCCCCCGAGGCAGCGAGTCCCCCAAGGCAGCGTGTCCCCCAGGGCAGTGTGTCCCCGAGGGCAGTGTGTCCCCCAAGGCTGCGTGTCCCCGAGGGCTGTGTCCCCGAGGCAGCGTGTCCCCCAAGGCAGTGTGTCCCCCGAGGGCAGTGTGTCCCCCAGGGCAGTGTGTCCCCCAAGGCAGCGTGTCCCCCAGGGCAGTGTGTCCCCGAGGCAGCGTGTCCCCAGGGCAGTGTGTCCCCGAGGCAGTGTGTCCCCCAAGGCAGTGTGTCCCCCAGGGCAGTGTGTCCCCGAGGCTGTGTGTCCCCCAAGGCAGTGTGTCCCCCAGGGCTGTGTGTCCCCGAGGCAGCGTGTCCCCCAGGCAGCGTGTCCCCCGAGGCTGTGTGTCCCCCAGGGCAGTGTGTCCCCCAAGGCAGCGTGTCCCCCAGGGCAGTGTGTCCCCCAGGCAGCGTGTCCCTGAGGAAGCGTGTCCCCCAGGGCAGTGTGTCCCCCAAGGCAGCGTGTCCCCCAGGGCAGTGTGTCCCCCAGGCAGCGTGTCCCTGAGGAAGCGTGTCCCCGAGGCAGCGTGTCCCCAGGGCAGTGTGTCCCCAGGGCAGTGTGTCCCCCAGGCAGTGTGTCCCCGAGGCAGTGTGCACCGGAGGGAGGGGTGTACTTGGAAGGGCCCAGGGGGCACTGATTGGCCACACAGCTCTGTTTTAACCCAGACGCCCCCTAAAAGAATGCTGTGTGCTTCCCACACACATTTTTAAGTTAACATCTAAAATTAAAAGGAATAAATTCTGATAAGTTGTACATGACATTTTCAAATAAAGTGGTGACAGATCTTTTAAATGGACCCCTTGGGTTCTAAATACCATGATGATTTAATACCCACAATCATCCATTAAAAATACTCAAGATTTTTACCAATTAGAATTTTTTTTTTTTCACCAATTAGAATTTAAATTGGTTTTCTTTTTGGAAAGATTTTCATTCCATAGAATGTACCTCAATGGAGTATCCTTTTTCCTTCACTCTTTTATTGACCAGACTATTTCATCAAGGTTCTCAGAGTTGGAATTCCTTCTGGATTGAGCTCTTTCTGTTGTGAGCAGTATGATTGAATCCATATATATCACAAAATCTGATATGTGATGACTGTAAATAAAGGATAAGTTTTCCTTGAAATGCCTGTGTTAATCGTGCCTTAATTAAATAAATTGTCTAGTTGTCTCTTGGTGTCCTCAGAATTATCACACCTGACCTCCTGGTATCACCCCTGACCTCATGGGATCACACCTCTCCTTCTGGTAATCACACCTGTCCTCCAGGTATTACACCTGTCCTCCTGGGATCACACCTGTCCTCCTGGGATCACATCTGTCCTCCCGGGATCACACCTGACCTCCTGGTATCACCCCTGACCTCCTGGGATCACACCTGTCCTCCAGGTATTGGGATCACACCCGTCCTCCTGGGATCACACCCGACCTCCCGGGATCACACCTGACCTCCTGGTATCACCCCTGACCTCCTGGGATCACACCTGTCCTCCCGGGATCACACCCGTCCTCCTGGGATCACACCCGACCTCCCGGGATCACACCTGACCTCCTGGTATCACCCCTGACCTCCTGGGATCACACCTGTCCTCCCGGGATCACACCCGTCCTCCTGGGATCACACCCGACCTCCCGGGATCACACCTGACCTCCCGGGATCACACCCGTCCTCCCGGGATCACACCCGTCCTCCTGGGATCACACCCGACCTCCCGGGATCACACCTGACCTCCCGGGATCACACCTGTCCTCCTGGGATCACACCTGACCTCCTGGGATCACACCTCTCCTCCCGGGATCACACCTGACCTGGGATCACACCTGACCTCCTGGGTTCACACCTGACCTGGGATCACACCTGTCCTCCTGGGATCACACCTGTCCTCCGGGTGTCACACTTGTCCTCCGTGCAGTGCGATGTAGTATGACTTGGGGGGGCCCAGTGGGAGGGGCCATTGACAAATGCAATGTGGGTCCAGACCCAGGAGTCTCCTGGGCAGATCAGTTCTAGAAAAATCTGAAAATTGTGTCCCTTAAAACTCCTTGTGGCCACCCCGTTTCTTATTTCCAAGGACCCCTGTGGCCCAGTTTGAAGATTCTGGCAGAAAAAGGAAGGGGATGGAGATGATGGGAGCTGAGTTGGGAAGGAAGTGGGCGGGACCAGAGGACAGCAGGGTCTCATGGGACATTTGGACTTGATCCCAAGGTCCTGGGAAGCTACTAAAAGGCTGCAAGGAGGGGAGTGACATGATTAAACGCGATTTTTTATAAAAGGAGAGCAGATGGGAGCCGTGTGGGGGCTGGTACTCGAGCACCAGCTGGGGTGCTGGTGCCTGGATGACTGGCCGGTGCATTCCTCATGCCCAGCCCCCGGCAGCAGGTGGTCCTGCCTGATGCAGGCAGGTGGCCTGGTCCCTAAGCCTCCCTGCAGGAGCCCGAGGGGCAGATGGGGAGGTAACACTGGAGGAGGACACGGGAGACGCTGAGCAGCATCCGGAAGAGGCAGGTAGAGCCACACCTGTCGTTGCTCTCCAGACACCAGGGGGGAGAACAGGTGCTGGTGAACATGCACCGCCATCTGCTCCTGTGAAAACTCAGCCTATTTCTATTCACAAATGTCCAGAAACTCCTGATGCAGTGTCTCAGGGAGGAAGCAGGGTCAGCTGAGGGTCAGCTGCACTTCCCGAATTGTTTCGAGGTTTTACCAGGAAGTTCTGAGGCAGCAAAGGCAGCCCACGTGCCGCGAGTGTGTGTGTGTGTGTGTGTGTGTCGCCGCAAGGCCCTGCCCCGTGTCAGGTGAAGGCGGAGCATGGGTGCAAGCCCTCAGGGCACGGCCTGCGTCTGGGCGGGGAGTGGGACTTACTTCTGACACAGGACTCAAGTGGACAAAGAAGGAAAAGAAGCCAAGAGTGACCCTTCCAGGGCACTGCTACAGGTGTGGCCACGGGAGCCAAGACGTGTGACGGAGGAGGGGCCGAGGAGGGCTTCCCAGCTCGCGTGCCACAGGGAGGGGCAGACCTGTGGCCTGGGACCCAGTCTCTGGGGGAGTGGAGCCCGTAGAGAAAAGAGTGCAGGTTCACCCACACGCAATTCAATCTGACGTGGAATTAATTTAGAATGAGAAAAAAATCTCAAAAAGTAAGACTTTAAAAGCTGACATGTCCAGACAAATAACTACTGTGTACTGTAATAGCGTGAGCCTTTCTTAGGATTATGAAACCATCCGATACTCTCTAGTCTGACGTAGTAAGTAGGAATTTGTGTTTTACCACCGATTGTTAGGATGAATGGAATAGCCACATGCTTTGACTCTAATACATATTCGATAAAATCAGTGATGTTCTTATGCAGTTTGACTGTAGCTCCAGGTGCTTGTCCCACTCGGCAGATAAAGCCGACGGCGCGGTGAGCACGCCGACTCTGTCTGCACGTCACTCAGCGTCACGTTGAAGGACGCACTGTCCAGTTAACTTACTGGTTTACAGACAAAGTACAGGCGTGGCCCACGAGGTGTGAGCTTCCCAGCGTCCTCCAGGGGCGGGTCTCAGTCTGTGACTCCGTCACCAGCGCTCGCCTCCCTCGTCACCCCCTCGCTGTCTGTTCTCATGTCTGTAACCCGATCACACATTTGCTAGACACGGTGACAGTATGTCATATTCCGTGTTTATGGCCTTTCAATGCTTTATTTTGTTTTCCTTCTTGGGGCCTTTCGTGCTTTAAAACAAATATTGAAAAGTATTAAAATTGTTTTTCACAAGTATTTTCTCATAAATGGCTTCGCCCGCACCCTTTCTCCAATCTGTGCTCTTCTCCTCCATGTCCTTCGGACACTGACCTTTTTCTGCTGAAAGGCACGTGCTGTGCACGCGGTCCCTCCCTCACTTCCCACATGTTTGTTAAGACAACACCAGCGTGGCAGCCAGACCGTCCGGATGAGCTGTCGCCTCAGGGCCTGAGCGTCCGTCAGCGCTCTGTGCACCGGAGAACCCGCGGGGTCCCCCTGGCCATCTGCCAAGGGTGTCGGCAGCGTCCCGTGCAACGTCACTCCCTCCCTGGGCACCAATGACCCTGGACACCTGTCACTTGCCTTGACCTGTGGCCTGCTTGTTACCCGGATCCTGTGTCTCCCTGATGCCTCTGGGTGCCTCCACCTCCCAGGCCTCCTCTGAGGCGTTGTTCAGAGGGAGGACAAGCACTTCCTCTCCCACCCTCTAGTGCAGCTTTTCTTTTTAACATATTTTTATTGATGTCAGAGAGGAAGGGAGAGGGAGGGAGAGAAGCACCAGTAATGAGAGAGAATCACTGATCGGCTGCCTCCTGCACACCCCCTACGGGGGATCGAGCCTGCAACCTGGGCATGTGCCCTGCCCGGGAATCAAACTGTGACCTCCTGGTTCATAGGTCGATTCTCAACCACTGAGCTACGCCGGCCGGGCTAGTATAGCTTTTTTTTTTTTTTTTATCAAAACTTAAAGTCCAGATTTTTCAGAAAAATGATTGTTTTTTTCTCTTTTGGAGATCCATGCCAATTTCTATTGTTTACTGAATCGTATATCACTCAGATTTGTCCTCTCTGCCAAGAGCTGTATTTATTAGTTAATATCACTCCGCCAAACCCTTCCCCTTAAATCTTTCAGAGCCCTGGTGTGTCCACAGAGTTTTCACCATTAATCTCATGTTTTCAGCAAAAGATGTATTATTCTTACAACACTCTCACGTTCAGACTCCCTACACATATTTTAGGTTAAAATATTTTTTTCTTAGTATTTTCTCATTCATTCTTCTTTGCCCAATATCATCTAATTTAACAAGTATTTGACCTTACCATGCATCACCTGGACCAGGCACCAAGGACACCACTGGAGAAGGGAGATGGGCCGTACCCTCGGGAGCTTGCGGGCCAGGAAGGAGACAGGTCAGACGGACTTTTCTATTCACTAAGCACTTGTTAGCGCCTCTCTCTCACTGACTAGTATCTCTAAGGGAACACAATAGTAGCCACCTGAAGATTAAGCACTAAGTGACGGCAAGCCAGAGGGGAGGGAAAGGCGTGGAAATGGCCAGCACAGCCAGTGTCCACGAGTGTTCTTACCTCCTGACTCACCCGTGGCCTGGCCACGCGACACACGACAACACCGTGTTGCAGAGGGAAGCCCTCTGAGACGGCGGCAAGAGACCCACTTAAGTAGAGTGATCGCTGAGAAGTAAAGCTACGGGAACTGTAACAGGCAAACACTAACCCTCAGAAAGCTGGGGGGGTCGTATTAACATTACAGCAGGTTTCAGAGGAAAGACAGTTAACACAAATACAAACAAAATACACCCGGAAGACACACCGAAAGCTGTCCCCTGACGACAGAGCCTCAGAACATGTGAAGGAAGCGCTGACAGAATTACACGAAAGGCCAGCAACCGGCATCAGAGCCATAAACAATGGAGCGAGGTTGCGGGATACCAGCTCAGCGTGCATTTCTATACACTAGCCAGGATGGTCCAAAGTAGAAATTAAACAATTTCATTTATGAATAAAAAAACAGCCCAGCTGGTGTGGCTCAGTGGTTGAGCATTGACCTATGAACCAGGAGGTCGTGGTTCGATTCCCAGTCAGGGCACGTGCCCAGGTTTCAGGTTCGATCCCCAGTGTGGGGCGTCAGGAGGCAGCCGATCAGTGATTCTCTCTCATCACTGATGTTTCTCTCTCCCACTCCCTCTCTCTTCCTCTCTGAAATCAATAAAAATATATTTAAACAACAACAACAAATCTTAGGAATGAAATTAGCCAAGGAGACAAAGACAGACACACGGACCAATGGCAGGGAATAGACAGCCCAGGAATAAATCGCTGGTGTCTGGTTGGTCATCTTTTGACAAAGGCGCCAAGACCATCCAATGGGGAAGGCCAGTCGTCTCACATGACTGGTGCCAGGAAAACTGGATACTCACCAGCAAAAGAACGAAACCGAGCCCTTCTCTTACACAATATACAGCAATTAACGCAAAATTGTTCAATACCTACACTTACGAGCTAAAACGATAAAACTCTGACAAGAAAACAGAGGGGAGTCATCACAACACTGGAGTTGGCAGTGACACCAAATGCACAGGCAGCACAAGAAAAGACAAGCTGGACGGACGTCATCAAACTGAGCAGCGTCTGTGCAACAAGGACACTGTCGAGGGGGGAGGGGCAGCCCAGCATCGGAGGAGACACTTGCAAGTTACGGATCTGATAAAGGGTTACTACCCAGGACATAGCGAGCCCCTAAACT